CTCCACCTCCCAGATTCAAGCGATTCTCCTGCCTCAGCCTCCCAGGTAGCTGAGGCTGAGACTACAGGCATGTGCCACCATACCCAGCTCATTTTTGTATTTTTAGTAGAGATGGGTTTCACCAAGTTGGCCAGGCTGGTCTCGAACTCCTGACCCTATGATCCACCTGCCTCGGCCTCCCAAAGTGCTGGGATTACAGGAGTGAGCCACTGCGCCCAGCCTCTTGTAATATTTTTCTTACATCGTGCTCAAAATTCTTTATTGCCTGAAAATCTCCTTTGCAGAGGTTTTTCTCTTATTAGGAATAACAGTGTGGAAGGATTATTAGTGATCTGTTTTCTCCGTTAGATTGTTTTTAGACTTTATTCTCCAAAATTTCTACAACAAACATGTTACTTTAGAAAGCACAAAAAAGTTCCCCCCCCAAATGACTAAATACTCATACCAAGCCACACTTAATAGTCCTTTTTAAGTGGAGTTTGCAGTATTTTTTTTTTTCCTTTTTCTTTTTTCTTTTCCCCAGTCAATGAAAGGGACATTTTATTGAGGCCCCAGAGCCATGGCGCCTGGAAAGGAGCCTGCCCTTCAGGGAAGGAAGAGCCTTCTTTGACTTGGAGCGCAGGTTGCTGGTGTGGCCATGCTTCGTCCTGTGGTAGCTAACAGCACGGGCTTGCAGGCGAGCACAGCAGTTGTGGCAGATCATCTTGTCACAGTTGTATTTCTGGGCAAGCTGGCAGAGGGAAGGCTCACCAATGCCACCTCGCAGGCGCAGCACTGGGTGCAGCGTGGACTCTTTCTGAATGTTGTCTGAGAGAGTGCAGCCATCCTCTAGCTGTTTGCCTGCAAATAACAGACACTGCTGGTCAGGTGGGGTGCCCTCCTTGTCTTGAATTTTGGCATTGACATTCTCAGCGGGGTCCCTGGGCTCAACCTCAGCGGTGATGGTTTTGCCTGTGAGGTCTTCACAAAGATCTTCATCTCTATGTCTGCAGCTCGGCTGCCTTGCTGGAGAAAAAGAGGGAATTTTTTTTTTTTCTTTAAAAAATTTATTGCCTTTTTCTACACATCCTGAAGCATATATTTTTTTAAGGGATAAAGAAAGGCAGTTCTTTCCAATTCTAGTTTCTATTTGCTTTTGTTTCTAGGTTAAGGCATTGTTTTTTTGTATTGATTTTTGTGTAAATTTTATATGGGAATTAGTCTAAATGGACTAGTTTTTTTCCTTGGAAGGAATGAATGAGACACTGTGGCACTGATTTTGAGCTCTGTAGATGTCCAGCCCAGCGGTCAGCCTCAAGTATGCACTCAATTGAGCTGTCATCTGCCGTCTCATTAACTAACAGAAATCCCTAACCTTGCCTGCGCAGGGCTTCACTGCATGGGACCTCAGCCTCTTGCCATTGGAGGAAACTGGCAGTAATTGTCCTAAGGACATGGAGAACAGCTGTGTTTTGTTCTTTCTTTTCTGTTCTCTACTAATTAGGGGTTAATGCTTAAGCTGAAAGATACGTCGACTTGTTAAGGGTTTGCATGAGCAGTTAACTAGATGGGATTTAATTGTGTTCATTTCTAGTCTCCCCCGTCTGCAAATCAACAGTGCCCTTGGCCCTTCTGGTGCCTTTCTCCAGCCTTCAGGACTGTTCTCTCTCCAGTGTCTCTTGCACCTCACTTGTCTTGTGCTTTGTCTTCTTTGCCTTGATTGTTGAAGGGAGTGGCAGCTGGATTCCTGGCAGGGGCTGGGTTATCTCTGGTTCCTTCTAGCTTAGGGAATCTGTTTCTGTGGCTCCGAGAAGGATCTGTTGCCAGTCAACCGATGCCAGGTCTCTGGGGCTGGGGATGGTTACTAGGCAGGAGAAACACCAGTCAGAAAACCCTGCAGTTTTAGAACTCAGGCGTCCCGGCAACCTGGTGGGCAGGACTGTCGGGTGGAAAGTGTGCTCATGGGGCTTGCCCCTTTCTGTGGGCCTCGCACATGATCTCAGCGGACCTGCCTGTCTGCCCAGCATTCTCATCTCCTGGTAAGCTGTGCTTTGTTTTGTTTTTTAAATTTCTTCTGTACTTGAGGACCCTCGCCTTTGTTATCAGCTCTGGCCCATATCTGGTTTTTTTGTGACAGTGGTTACTGTCTTTTCACATTGTGCAGGGGGACCGGTCGCAGTATGTAACATTGAACAAAATAGGTGGCAAGTCCCAGGGTGCCCATCAAGATACAAACATTTTCTGTTCACAACTTCTGCTGAAATTCATTCGTCTCTTTTCTTCATGATTTTTGGATAAAATTTATAGTAGTACTTATTTCATCTTTTTTTTTCTTTTTTTTGTATGAATTAAACCAAATATTTCTTTTTTTTTTTTTTTTTTAAACGGAGTTTCGCTCTTGTTACCCAGGCTGGAGTGCAATGGCGCGATCTCGGCTCACCGCAACCTCCGCCTCCTGGGTTCAGGCAATTCTCCTGCCTCAGCCTCCTGAGTAGCTGGGATTACAGGCACGCACCACCATGCCCAGCTGATTTTTTGTAGTTTTAGTAGAGATGGGGTTTCACTGTGTTGACCAGGATGGTCTCGATCTCTTGACCTTGTGATCCACCCGCCTCGGCCTCCCAAAGTGCTAGGATTACAGGCGTGAGCCACCGCGCCCGGCCAAATATTTCTTAAATAATTAGAATGTTTTCTTATAGTGGTTGGTATGCTTATGTGATAACTGTGGTAGGAAAATGGCTTTCTGGTAGTAAGTGACTCTTTTTCATTTATCCACGCGGCACTCAACAGACACTTCAGTCCTATTTTCCTCGTTCTGGGTTCGCTGCTAGGGAGACAAATAAACAATATATAGAGTATGCAGTGCTCATCTACTGTCTGCTGGGTTTAGCCAGAGCACATACATATATAAGCTCTTTTTTTTTTGAGGTGGAGTCTCACTCTGTTGCCCAGGCTGGAATGCAGTTGTGTGATTTTGGATTACAGGCACCTACCACCATACCCAGCTAATTTTTTTTTTTTTTTTTTTTTTGAGGGAGCCTTGTGCTGTCGCCTAGGCTGGAGTGCAGTGATGCCATCTCTGTTCACTGCAACCTCTGCGCCCTGGGTTCAAGCGATTCTTCTGTCTCAGCCTCCTGAGTAGCTGGGACTACAAGCGCCTGCCACCACGCCCAGCTAATGTTTTGTATTTTAGTAGAGATGGGATTTTACCATATTGCCCAGGCTGGTCTCAACCTCCTGAGCTCAGGCAATCCACCCAGCTCAGCTTCCCAAAGTACTGGGATTATAGGCGTGAGCCACTGCACCTGGCCTTTTCTGCATTTTTAATAGAGATGGGGTTTCACCATGTTGGCCAGACTGGTTTTGAACTCCTGGCCTCAAGTGATCCACCCACCTTGGCCTCCCAAAGTGCTGAGATTACAGGCATGAGCCACCTTGCCCGGCCATATCAGCTCTTCTTAAGTACCTTTTATTCCTTGAGTTTTAGTAGAACTGACTGTAGCTCTCCTCCTTACCAACCATATGATGCCTGGCAAGTTGTCTAACCTGTCTTAACCCAGTTGCCTTATCTATAACAAGGGGAAAATTATTGAATCTATTTTAAAGAATTGTCAGGAGGATTAAATGAGAAAAACACTTAGAATAGTGCCTGGCACTGGGTAAGCACTCAGCAAATGTTAACTGTCATCATCATGTTATTATTACAGAAGGAGTTGTATTCTGGAAAAGTCACTCAAACCCATTTAAATAGGCAAGAGGATCGCTTGAACCCGGGGGGCAGAGGTTGCAGTGAGCTGAGATTAAGCCATGTCACTCCAGCCTGCCAGCCTGGGCGAGGAGAGTGAAACTCTGTCTCAAAAAAAGAAAGAAAGAAAATGTTTTTGAACAATATGAAGCCCTATAGACTGGTTACAGAAGTGTAGCATTTGTTACAGATGTTAACAGTAACATGTACAAAGTGTATAGACTACATGTTGTTTCCCTTATAAATAAAAGACATGATTTGACTTTAGAAAAGTCAGTACTCAGCCATGATTTCACATCTGTGATGGTGGAGGAGCTGTGCTCTGCACTAGGAATTTGCATTGAACAGCTCTTTTGGAGCTTAATGGTCTGTTGGGAAAGACACGGTAAACAGTAGTAACAATAAAACGAGATGTGTTCTGTCTTTGGGAAGGTACAGTGTCACCAAGTCAGTTGTGATGGGACTTATCTCCTATCTTTTCACTCAGTATGGGAATATTTAGAGCTGCCCACGGGCCTTCACTTGCTGGTCTGCAGTTTCCCAGGTGGTACACCGGGGTTTGCTCCTGTTTCACGCTCAGTGTGGTTCTGTGAGGGAGCCTGATCTGGACTCTCACAGGCCAGGCGTTCCTTAGACCTCACATCAGCTTGAAGGTAATTTGAGTCTGCTATCTGCTCTTTCCAACCTTTAACTTAGAAAAAGCGGGCCTGTTTTTACTAACCCAGAGGACATTTGCCATATGGCAGGTTAGGCAAGAGATGATAACTCTGGTTAAGGAGACTCGAAAAGGATTTTCTGATCAGAAGGAAACTAAGCAACCCCTTTTGGCCAGAATAATTGACCTTGGTAATGGTTACCAGGGAAGGCATTTGGATTCCATTAGAATGCATCATGAAGCATGGAGAGCTTCAGGGCTATCCTGTTTAAAATGTCGAAGCCAAATAAAATTTGGAGGTGGAGTTTCTTCAAATCCTCAAGGAAATTACCATTTGGATTTTTAGAAAGCCTTGAATATTACAATGGAATCATTAGGCCAGGATCTAAGAAAATTGGCCTGGGTCTTTCAGATATCTGACTGAAGATGGCAGAGAGTATAATAAAAATAGGAAATAAACGGATATTTATGTTTTTGATGCTGAACGTTTGGCAGGCCGCCATCATATGAATTGTTAAGTTATGACACTAGGATGTTTGGGAATGGCGGGTAACTTTCACTAAATAGCATATATTTCTCTAGGTTTATGGTTTCAAACGTGAGATCTGTTGAAATATATTTAGGTCACTCATATACCTACTGAAAGATACTTCTAATTCATAACATATACAACTTGAGTTTTTAGGCATTCTCATTTTATGTGGAAAATGCTCTGAAGTTTAAACTTTTTAACCTTTTTTTTTTTTTCTCTTTAGGAAAATAAAGCAGCCAACACAGACCATTTAACCACGGTACTCTACCTCCAGTTTGCTATTTGTTCAAGTTTGCAGAACTTGGAGAAAACAATTTTCTGCCTGCAAAAACTGATTTCTTTGCATCCTTTTAATCCTTGGAACTGGGGCAAATTGGCAGAAGCTTACCTGAATCTGGGGCCAGCTCTTTCAGCAGCGCTTGCGTCATCTCAGAAACAGCACAGTTTCACCTCAAGTGACAAAACGATCAAATCCTCCATTCCACACTCGGGAAAAGACTATCTTTTGTGTTTTCCTGAAACCTTGCCTGAGAGCTCTTTATTTTCTATGGAAGCAAGTAGCAGAGGTAGCCAGAAAAATGAGAACGCTCTTGCAAATATCCAAAACTGTACAGCAGAAAAGAGAGAAGCAGTGCTGCTAGAGACTCAGCTGAAAGCGTGTGCCTCTTTTGTACGAACCAGGTAAGCGAAGGGACGCTTAAGCAACACATGGTGATCAGCTCAGAGGAAAGGCTTTCTTTTCTTTCTTTCTTTTTTTTTTATATGGAACACTTCACGAATTTGCGCGTCATCCTTGCGCAGGGGCCATGCTAATCATCTCTGTATCATTCCAGTTTTAGTATATGTACTGCTGAAGCGAGCACAGGAAAGGCTTTATTTTCTAATTTTAACCTTCTAAAAGTTCTAGGCTAGACATTTGGTATATAGTTTTGAATTTTTCCTGTGGTTCTGTTGAACGTTTGTCATTCTAGTATGTAATACTTGGAAACAGAACTACATTTGTTGAAGTATACCACCCATGTTGGCTGGGGGTGGTGGCATATGCCTGCAATCCCAAACTTTGGGAAGTTGAGGCAGGTGGATCGCTTGAACTCAGGAATTCGAGACCAGCCTGAACAACATAGTGAAATCCCATTTCTACTATTATTTTTTTGAGACGGAGTTTCACTCTTCTTACCCAGGCTGGAGTGCAATGTCGCGATCTCAGCTCACTACACCCTCTGCCTCCCAGTTCAAGCAATTCTCCTGCCTCAGCCTCCTGAGTAGCTGGGATTATAAGCATGTGCCACCATGCCCAGATAATTTTGTATTTTTAGTAGAGATGGGGTTTCTCTATGTTGGTCAGGCTGGTCTTGAGCTCCCGACCTCAGGTGACCCACCCACCTCAGGCTCCCAAAGTGTTGGGATTACAGGCGTGAGCCACCATACCCAGCCGATAACAAGTACTTTTTATCCTTAAAGTATAAGACTTTGAGGGAAGGGTAGGGAGAATACACTTGGCCAGTTCTATAAATGAGAGAAGCAGCACACTCTTTCATGTTTCAAATGGTACCAAAGAATGTACAGATCTTTTTTTTTTTTTTTTTTTTAACTCAGGAGAATTCAAGGAATATTAACAGTGAGGCTTACTGAGAAGTGGTATCTATTTGGCAAATTTTATTTTATAATTTTTTTTTTTTGAGATGGACTTTTGCTCTTGTTGCTCAGGCTGGAATGCAGTGGCACGATCTCAGCTCGCTGCAACTTCTGTCTCCAGGTTCAAGTGATTCTCCTGCCTCAGCCTCCCAAGTAGCTGGGATTACAGGTGTGCACTACCATGCTCAGCTAATTTTTGTGTTTTTAGTAGAGACGGGGTTTTACTGTGTTGGCCAGGCTGGTGTCAAACTCCTGACCTCAGGTGATCCACCCCCATCGGCCTCCCAACGTGCTGGGATTACAGGGGTGAGCCACCGTGCCCAGCCCTATTTGGCAAACTGTAAATTGTATTCAGTGGATGCTTATTTAGCATTGACCATGTCACTGTAATTCAGAGGCACATTGAATGACAACTGTGCACCAGGCATTTGCTTGGTGCTAGGATCACAATGATTGTTTAAAAAGCAGTCCCTTTCCTTATGCTGCTCACTGACTTAGGGAAATGGTATGTCTAGCCAGTAACTGGCAGCACAGGTGCTAAATAGTCTATCAGTGCTGTGAACAGAATTCTAGGCGGACCGATGTCAGGGAGCTGTCGGCGTGACCGAAAGCAGGAAGCCTTTACAGAAGGGATGATGCCTCTGCTGAATGGTCCCAGTAGGAACCCTTGCCAGTTGACCACTGAATGCTGGATGCTTTGTATACATTATTTCATTTTAATCCTCACGACTCTGGAATACCTATTGGGATCCCACTTTATGGACCAGGAAGCCATTAAAATCATTTCCAGAGTGGTGCAGCTGTGAAGTGCAGGGCCAGGATTTGGAGCTGATCTCTGATTCCAGACCCTGTGTTCTTCCAGGTTATCTTGCTCACGCCACGTTACTATTCCCCACGTGGGAAGAGGCATGCTAGGTAAAGAGAAAGAAAGCATTGCCCAAAGGGGCTGAGGATCCATTCTACAACAGTGCTGTCACATTGTCTGGTGGTAAGAGCAGCACTGGTGGTCAGGGCTCGAGGTAGACTGTGGCCACAGTGCCAGGGTGGCGGAGGAAGTAGGAAGCAGGACATTAGCATCAGAAGTGGTTTTGAAGAGTTTAGTAAATTGCTGATACTAAGGGAATGAGCCTGGACTCTTCCACTTGCCAGCTGTCTGACCTTCACACATTCCTTGAACTCTAGTTTCTAGTTGCTTAACCTTGACAGATGGACAAATGGGGAAAATGCCTGCTTCTTGGGGTTGTATTTAAAGTACTTAATGTCCTACATGGTGTGTAGTAGGCACTTGATAAATGTTAGCTATTAGTACTTTTCTTTTTGTTGTTTTTTTGCGGGTTTTTTTTTGAGACGAAGTTTCGCTTGTCAGCCAGGCTGGAATGCAGTGGCGTGATCTCGGCTCATTGCAACCTCTGCCTCCTGGGTTCAAGCAATTCAGTTCTCCCACCTCAGCCTCCCAAGTAGCTGGGATTACAGGCATCCACCATCACGCCCAGCTAATTTTTGTATTTTTAGTAGAGATGGGGTTTCGCCATGTTGGCGAAACCAGGCTGGTCTCGAACTGCTGACCTCCAGTGATCCACCCACCTCAGCCTCCCAAAGCGCTAGAATTACAGGTGTGAACCACCGTGGCCGACCCTGTTTTTCTTGTTTTTATTGTTAGCACAAGATGTTTAATGTCTCAAGGGTTTGGTCCTTGTGCCGAAGGCCTAAAGAGTATTTGCAAGTTTTAAATACAGGAGCATGTGATAAGACCTGTGATTGAGAGAGAGAGCTCTGGTGGCTGCGATGCTGGATTAGAAGGAGGCACTAGGGACACCAGTGAAGAGGTTGTGGACTAATTAGTGGAAGGGGATGAGGGCCTGACCTCGGCTGGTGCAGTGATTAAAAAAAAAAAGAAATGGATGTCACTGCGGGATAGAATAGACAGGACATGGTGACCAGCAGAGTGTGTGGGAAGGATGAGGGTGGGGAGAATGGAAGAGCCTCTGCAGTCTCTCAGGGGCACACAGGTGGGTAGCAGTGCCTTTTTGCTGAGATAGGACACATGGGAGGATGAGCAGAGCTGATTTGGGTAAAAGGCAACGATTTTAGGATCGAAATACCAAGACTCAGGTGCCTGTGGGTTATCCAGAGGGTGGAAAGCAAGTTACATCAAAGGGGTCACAAAGGCGAATGCCTCCCGAGGCTGGGTAGGTGATGTCAGCAGGTCAGACTGAAGCAGATATATGGTCGTTTTACCCGTGAGTCAGGTCAGGCTCCTTTCTGAAACTCCCCACTGGCTTCCCATTGCACTTACATCAATACCACCTTTCTTTCCACGGCCTGTAAGGTCTGATTTGAATTGGCTCTTCCTTTTCTCCCCCACCTCATTTACTACACATTTTTCCCTCTGGCTGTGTTCCAGCCACAATGATCTTGATGATTTTCAAGCATACCCAGCTGGTTCCTGTGTCAGAGCCCCGTTCTCCCTGGCCAAGCCCTTGCCCCCAGATGTTCTCCCGCTGGCTGCTTGTCAGGTGGCTCGTAGCTTGCCTGGTATCTCCGGGAAGCCTTCCTGCCTACACTGCCCCATCTGAAGAGGACACTGTGTCCACCCTGTCTTGGATTTTTTTCATAGCACTTGTCACTACCTGAACTACGTAGGTGTGGTCTCCCTTCTCCCATTCCACGGGGCTGCCAGTGTGTTTTGCTCTGCAGTAGCTCTCAATGCCTAGTGTAGTATCGGGCACATTCCACAGTATGGAGAGCGGAGTGCTTCTGGGCATTGCAGTAGGTACCAGTGAGAAAAACGGGGAAAATCTGCATATTCAGTATTTATTAAAAAACAGAAGGAGCCAAAGGAGGAGGACAGGAGGAAATTAAGTGAGAGGGGAGACCAGCTATGATCATGACGGGGATGTCAGTGGTAAGGTATTGCAAAGTAGTTGTCAGAGGGTCATCAAAGCTTTGGCCCTGCTTGGGGTAATTGAAGTGTGCTGGCGAATCTAATTAGTCCTTGCGGTCAAGTTGCTGTGGGGTCAGCGAGATGGAAGGGTCACAGAACACTGACTTCAAAGGAGCAAATCCCCGGCGCGCCTGTGCGAGAGGAGTCTCTGATTGGGAGGCTCATTCATTTCACTCCAAATTACTTACCCTTTCAATCCCTTGACTTCCACGGGAAGCTCTTTTGAGGCTGGAAGCTCTTTTCAGGTGTTGCTCTCTAAAGATTTCTTTGAGCAGTTTTTCATCTTTATATTTTAGAAAAGATGAATCTCCAATGTAACGTTGGGCAATTTATTCGGAGTCGGAAGCTTTAGGGATTCAAATGATAGTTCTAGTGAGGATGGGTACCTGCTTTTTAACCTAGTGAGACTCGCAGCCAACTGAATACTTGGGCTCTCTGAACGTTTCCTTGCTGCTTTCCTTTATCTGGAAGCGTTGGGACTTTTCCCCACACATTGGGACTTTTCGGTTTTTCAGGCTTCTGCTTCAGTTTACCCAACCTCAGCAAACATCGTTTGCTTTGGAGAGGAACTTAAGGACTCAGCAGGAAATTGAAGATAAAATGAAAGGGTTCAGCTTCACAGAAGACACTTTGCTGTTGATAGCCGAGGTGAGTGTCTCCCTTGGGTTTATGTGAAACAAGACATCATAGCTATTTTCCCTGGCTCTGATAGCATTTTTGAGAAAGCAGGGCCAAATCTCATCTACTGAAGGACTTGTCTCCCTCGTTTGTGTGCCTTTTGATCACTCAGCAGTCACCAAGGCGGCCTCTTGATCGGCATTCCCCTGCAGCGCGGGACGCAGGGGCTGTTTCATGTACTTGTCAGTGCTTGTTAGCACCTGCCGGCCTGAACATCATCAATGCCCAATAATTGTTTGTTTCAGGGCTGAATAAACGAATGAATGAATGCTCACATTTGTGCAGCAGTTCTAATTTTTTTTCCCCTCCATTCATCATAACAGCTTGTAAAGATGAGTAGAGCTAGAGTTGAGGCTCAGAGAGCTTGTGACTTGCCTGCGGTCAGAATATTTCAGTGGCGGAGCTGGTCTGGAGCTCATGTTTGCCAGCTGCAAGTTCATTTTCTTTCTGTTCTACCCTGTTACTGCTTTGATGGTTGTATAGAAATTCAGAGGTCAATTTTTTGAAAACTTACATTTAAACCTTCATTGGCTTTTTTTTTTTTTTTTTTTTTTTTTTTTTTTTT